TCTCACTCAGCTGCATCAAAGGTGACATGACGTGAGATGACCCTACATCTCACTCAGCTGCATCAAAGGTACCAGCGACTAACCTACACTCGTTCAGGCAAGTGTTAACAAGTGAGATAGTTTGGTATCTTACCACAGCTAAAACAATATAGACAACCCAGGTATACAGTTCACCATGTATATAGACAACACAGGTATACAGTTCAGTATATATTGTGGAAAATGTATAATTCCATGTAATAATTAAGAATTGTAAATAAAACCTGGTAACAATCTGCCCAGTGGAGCCTTGAAGCAACTATCCTCATTTACTCAGTGAGCATTATAGAGGAACAGTCCTTTGTGTTCCTGACCTGCATCTGATAATGGCTGAACCACATCATCAAGGTCAAAAGTAAGTAATAATAAATGGCCGTTATAAACCATCAAGTGCCGTTGAGGACGTCTGTGTTGTGGCCTTCTGAATCCTGCCAAGTTAAACCTTTTAAGGAAGGTCTTCACTCCCTGCAGTAGTTTGTAACAGGTGGGTCAGACCTGCACAGTACCACACCACCGACTTAACGCGAAAATATTTATCATTGTCACCTCAGATCCACTACATCCTCACACAATAATAATTCTTGGCTTTTACACAATAAAGGCCAGAGGAGAGATGGAGTGGCAAGAGAAGGCCACCTTATAGTTGTGTGTGATCAAGACTCATTCATCAGTGGCATAAATGTTAAAGCTCACTATGGCCGAGTCAACATTAAATTAGGATTCACGTAGCGACGTCGTAATTACCAGTAATGAGCCGTTTAGGCAGTTGGTCTGTTACAACTGTACAGTATGGGAGGAAACTGTAGTATTGTACCTGCAGAAAACCTGCCATGTTTGTTAGTGAGGGTAACATCTGTCCCAAAACGAGCAGTTTTAATGAAAAAGCTGTGAATTCTAGAATTTTATTCTTTGCCTTTTTTATATCATAAAATGTAGACTTTCCAATGTCGTATGTTTCCATTAGAACAGTATTGCTCACACCACATTCTAGTTTCTTAATTATTTCAAGTTTGTCACTCAATTTCAACGAGTTATTCTTTCTCTTCACACAACGAAGTTTATCTACTATAGGAGCCATTATCATGGGCTTGTACAGTACTCTGTAAATGGAAAGAGTAAGACTCAAAATAATGTTATGTTACACGGGTATTCTATTCATACTGTGCCTGATATAATGCATTCACGGAAATGTAATAGTTTTGCTGAAATGGCGTACGTATTACAGTGGAAAGTTGGATAAAATCGTGATGAAAACAATGACTTTATCTTTCTTTCGTTCAAAAGATGTTACCGTAATCGCTTTTCGAATGGTTTTCAGTTAAAAAACTGTTGTATTACAATAATATTCTATCCTAATTGACTTGAATAAATACTAAAATAACATATTTCTGAATATTTTCATTAAAATCCATCAAAATCATTTTCCTTGTCATCGTCTGCAGCACCAAACAGCTTCTCCCTAGTCCTCTCCTTGAACAGGGCTAGAGGGTACGTGTTTTTTGAATCGTTTTCAGTTAAAAAACTATTACATCACACGGATATTTTACTTAAACTGCGCCTGAATGAATATATTCTTGGAAATAAATAGTTTTGCTGAAACGTGATGTATTTCAATGTAAAATAGGATAAAAATACATGATGAAAACAAAAGACTTTTCCTAAGCTTCCGATGTTCTTAAGATGTTACTCGTTTTTTTAATAGTTTTCGGATAAAATTCTGTTATATTACAATGATATTCTATTCATACTGTGCTTGATATAATACATTCACGAAATGTAATATTTTTGCTAAAATTACGTACAGATTACAGTGGAAAATGGGATAAAATCGTGACGAAAACAATGACTTTCGCTTTCTTTCCTTCAAAAGATGTTACCGAAATCGCTTTTCGAATGGTTTAGTTAAAAAACTGTTGTATTACAATAATATTCCCTCCTAATTGACTTGAATAAATATTTGAATGGAAATATACAATATTTTTGTTGAAACTACCCGCGTTTCAGTGTAAAGTGTCGTAATAATAAATGGTAAACAATTTGCCTTCGGCACTCGTGTTTCAGGCACGGCGAGCCTCAGTTTATAGGACATAGAATGTTTTTACTGAAGGTTTTGCTGTTCCATTACCCTCAAAAACGTGGGTCAAACTATAAACGAGGAATATCATAAATTAACGATTTCTTGATCAAAAAATCAGGGTCGACCTATAAACGGTATGTTGTCACAGTTTGATTGCTCGTTTTAAATTGGCGACCACGTGGTCGCTTGTTGTCGCTGTGCAGCTGTGGCGCTCACGCATGCGCACATACACACAAAAGCCTGCTAAAAAAAAAAAATAAATAAATAAATAAAAAAAAAAATCAGGATTCTCGGGTGGTCCGGATTTCTGGCATCCGGATTTTTGGACTTTTACTGTAATATAATTTGCATTGCTGAAATCCTTGCAAGACAGAGATTAATTTGAATATAAGCGTCATATATTTTGCTCAAGATATAAAAAATGTAGTACATTAGTGTACAATACTGTAGTACATTTTATAAAAAGTTTTTCAACTGCATTTTTGGGTAGATTTACATAAATTTCTTCATTTATTTTGATCCATTTACATTTACATTACGGTAACATCTTTTGAACGAAACAAAGCGAAAGTCATTGTTTTCGTCACGATTTTATCCCACTTTCTACTGTAATACATACGTCATTTCAGCAAAAATATTACATTTCCGTGAATGTAGTATATCAAGCACAGTATGAATAGAATATCATTGTAATATAACAGTATTTTAACTGAAAACTATTAAAAAACGAGATAACATTTCTTGAACATCGGAAGGTTAGGTAAAGTCTTTTGTTTTCGTCATGTATTTTATCCTATTTTACATTGAAATACAACACGTTTCAGCAAAACTACTATTTATTTCTGAGAATATATTCATGCAGGCGCAGTTTAGGTAAAATATACATGTGATGTAAAAATTTTTAATTGAAAACGATTCAAAAAACATGTACCCTCTAGCCCTGTTCAAGGAGAAGACTGGGAGGAGCTCTTTGGTGCTTAAGACGATGACAAGGAAATAGATTTTGATGGATTTTAATGAAAATATTCAGAAATATGGTATCGTAGTACTTATTCAAGTGAATTAGGATAGAATATTATTGTAATACAACAGTAGTGACGACGTGGAGGAGGCGGAGGCATAGAGCGGGGAGGTGCGGTGACTGGCGGCAGCAGGGACGAGTGGGGATGCCAGCCAGTACATTACGGATGTATAGTATTACAGGTAGTTCTGCTATAACGCGATAATTGTGTTCTTGTAAAATATCGTGTTATAGAAAATCGCGTAATAGAAATAACAGGGCTTATGGAGAAAATAGGGTTAGGTGCAGATTACTCGAAATCGAAAAAATTTAGTAGTTAGCCTAACACAAAGGATAGCACAGTCTAAATAAATGTTACATTCATATCTAATAATAAAATCATACAGTAAATTTAACACTTTACCTTGAAAAAATATGAATGTAACTTGATGGGGGAGAAGGGTGATTTTGAGGTTGATAACATCGAGCTTCTCTTCAAGTGTTATATCCTTTCTTTTACGATAATCACCGGGAATTCTATCATCAGAACGCTTTTTGGAGATATTCTTCTTTACTATATTCACAGTTAATACCACAAAATTGGAGAAATAGTAAGCAAAAATCGCGTTATAGCAAACAAGCGTTCGCGTTATACAAATATTGTTCCGAATTCATAAATCGCGTTAGAGCAAATTCGCGTTATCAAAACACGCATTATAGCAGAACTCACTGTAATTGATTTTATAGCTCTTTATGCATTTTAATATTAAATACTGTACATTACGTTTCAACAAAACTACTATTTATTTCTGAGAATATGGAAATGTAATATTTTTGCTGAAATGACATACATATTACAGTGAAAAGTGGGATAAAATTGTGACGAAAACAATGACTTTCGCTTTCTTTCGTTCAAAAGATGTTACCGTAATCACTTTTCGAATGGTTTTCAGTTGTGGGATTATGAGGCTAATGATAGGATAGAATATTATTGTAATACGGTACGGTACAACAGTTTTTTAACTCAAAACCATTTGAAATGCGATTACGGTAAAATCTTTCGAACAACGAAAGAAAGCGAAAGTCATTGTTTTCGTCATGATTTTATCCCACTTTCCACTGTAATATGTACGTCATTTCAGCCAAAATATTACATTTCCATATTTATTTCTGAGAATATATTCATTCAGTCACAGTTAAGGTAAAATATACTTGTGATGTAATATTTTAATGAGAATACGGTATCGTAGTTTTCTTTTGTTTCAAATTTAATTAACAAAGATTGATGTTTCAAATGTAATGAACAAAAATTTATGTACAGTATCTATAAATAAACTTTAAAAAATGAATACTTTGTTTTACATCATCCTGTGTATACCATACCATGCATTTGGTTACTTTGGGCTTGCTATTATGATGCAAGAGATCTGCCCTGGCAGCTGTACCGACACTCACCGCCGGTGGTGCGTCGTTTCCATTGTTTACTGGTAGTTCCTGGTAAATATTTTTCAACCTAACGAAACTATTAGCCGTTTAGAGGTCGACCCCTAATTTTTTGCCAAATAATTTAGTCTTAAAAACTCGAACTACACACAGGTATATATGGTAAATAAGGACATTGGGGGCCAGGGGTTTTTTAGGGGGGGGGAGGCAAAAGTGCACGGATTTTCAACATTCATGGGTATCTCTCTTACCTAACCCCCGCGTATGTTAAGGGCTGACTGTATGTATGCATGCATAAAACAAGTAGAGTATTAATAAACATGATGGTTCATGTGCTATAACAGGAACAGGTACTGCAGTAAGAGGTGTAGTATTACCTGGGCCTCGGCCATATCCTGCCAAACACTGTGCCTTTAACCTCTCCGAACCTCTTCGTTTTGACGATATAATCAAAGATAGCCGTTCTTTCCTCGTGGGAGTAGTATACATCTTTTCTGTAAAAGAAAACTTATGATAATATACTTTCTTGAATATTTTTTCACACAACTAAAAGGAATATCCTTCCTTCTTTAGGCATTTGCCTCCAGGTGTAATGTTAACCTACATCTATTGAGGATGAAATCTTTCACCTACAAATTGACAATAACACATTTGCTGTAATCAGACATATCTAGTTGCCTCAACCCCAACAATAACCGAATTTTTTCTTCCAAATTTTCTTATTATTGTGGACTTATACTGTAAAACAAGTTAATGATCACCAAAAACAGCACTCGTCTTACACCCCCCTCGTAAACCACCCCAAAATAAAATTATAATAAAAAACTCATTTGCCTATCAGTATTTATCTTTCCGTCCCTATTATTAGCCAGAGATTTATAATATTGCTAAGTATAATAGTGTGAAATAATAAGGAAACACCACTATAAAGGTGCTCCTCTACTTAAGAACGTTCAACTTACAAATTTTCAGAGAAACAAACATCATCAATGAGCGGGGTTACCTGCCAGAACAGGTGTTTAATGTGGATGAGACTGGATTATTTTGAAGAAAATTCCAGATAAAACAAACATTACCTAAGAGGAGAAGAGTGAGCCAGGTTTTAAGGCTGTATTAAAGGGTATAGCTGGGCTAAATATCCATAATCTTTTCAGTTTTTACAATAAGTTTGGTATCTACAGGAGTAAAGTTGGACTTACAAACAAGACTCAAGAATGTAGCTCTTTCGCAAGTAGAGGAGCATCTGTAGTGCATTTTTTTCTCAGGTGAGAAAAGATGCCCCGCCCCATGACTGTATTGCTCTAATTTTATCCAAAATTTTATTATAACATGCATATTATCTCGATATTACTACATATTAATTCACAGAAATAAACAAACATGTTGTCAGTAAAGAAGAACACTCACCTCAACCCAAGAAACAGGAAGTTTGCAGGTGTAAGTCCTGGACCCACTCTCCAGAGGACTATTTCAAAGCACACTAAGTCTCGGTAATTTCCAGGAAGGTCACCTGCAACAAGAAAGTCTCTTTCAGAAACAGGTAATTAAACACAATTGAAATCTTAACTATAAAGTAGAAGGAGTGACAACAACTTGTTTCAGTTGCTCTCCACCCATAGCAGGAAAAGGCTGATATCATCATAATCATCTCCAACATTTCATGTCCATTTCCCACAGTTGTGTGCATTAGCCATGATTACCTGATGGCAGCTCTCTAAGCTGCATAATGTCTTTTAATAACATCATAAAGATTAAGTTGTAAATGTGTCCACCAAACTTTGAGGGCTTGGAACCCTTGGAAGCTCTAAACTAGAGTGATTAGGGCTAAACTGACCATCAGCCAACTTCCCCCTAACCATGTCCCATGATCAGATGTTTGACAAAGCAAGGTTGTCCATGGTGGCTTGGAAGGTATGGAAATCACTCTCAAGGTTTCACAGCACATGAGTTACCAATTATTTACTTGTCAGACTTTATCACTGAGTGGGAAGAAGAATCAACCCCACATAATCCACTGACCTCTTATGATGACATCAAAGGAGGAGGATGGGATCTCATTAATTCTTTTTAGGCTCTATTATCAAACAGGATTTCAGGATCTATCCTTTATAACTATTTATCTGTCAAAAATAACTAATGAATGCTTAAGCTGTGCTGTACAAAGAACACTCTCATGAAGAAGACCTGACCACAGTTGATACAAAACTGTACCACGTATGAAAATATGAAAGTTAAAGACACACGTAATGAAAATTCAAAATGCCCGAACTGCAAAGGACATCACCGCACTTTGGCAGCACGATGCCCAGTAAGGAAGGATATCATCAAAGACATGAAGGAAAAGGAAAAATCGAACAAACATATAGAAACTGACCCAACTAAAACCTATGCTGCAATAACAAAGTTGCAAGACACTACAGATGGCACGCACGCGCCATCTATCGGACAATCCCAGAACCAGAAATTTGACACTGACAGTCCCTCGCTTAATTCAGATTTCGTCCGATATCGGGATTAAAGGGGTCCGTTTTAACGAGGGTCTACCCTTCACCATACTAGCCACACCGATACATGCCCACATAATCAACGTGGCTAACACGGGAACATTCGGGAAAAACTATCAGAGAAATGTTTGCAGCGAACAACCTACCACAGGTAAACTTCCCACACAATGCCCCATCAGCAGACATTTTCAAAATAATAACCAAAAACAGTCTAGGAATCACCAGCAAAGAAAGGGAAGATAAAATAACACAACAAGAAAATTGCACAGGAGCAGAGACTGCAATGGATACAACCCACTCCCAAATAACCACAAGACCCTAGAGAACACAACCAACCAATCAGCTAAGTCAACACCAGCAAGACCACGTAGAGAGAACCCCACCGGTCAACGGCCAGCCGACGTCGGAGACAGCATAGGAATCAGGTTTTACTCAGTCAACTCCCTGTAACAAATGAGAGATTGTTAAAAGATATTAAAGAAGGAACAACCAAATACACATATGAAGACAACACAGTAGAAGAGGGACTCATAGAAACACTAATACGTGGAGGAAAAATAAGCAGCAAATACAACAAAATCGAGAACGTAGACTTATCAAAATTCAAGAAAATAAGAACAGGACTGAAGGAGAAGAGAGAGAGACTCTCCCCGGAGAGACCCGAGCAACCGAACAACACGCGTCAAGTTCATGCGACCCACGATTACGCAAAACAGAACACAGAAAATAATACAACACAACGTCCTGGCCTGGACACATACAAGAAAAACAGAACTGACAAACATATACAACAGCATAGACCCAGACAATTCTCATAAACTCACACCGACGGAAAAACAGTGACAAAATAAAACTCTTCAACTATTACACACATCAACTGAACATACACTCATAGACAATTTCCAAACCTACTTCTTAGCAGTCGAAATCAACACAACTAAAGGCCCAATAACAATCGGAACAACATATTTACCTTGCCGACGACAAACATTCCCGACTGGCGACTTACTAAAACTAATGAGACGTAACACACCAGCATACAGTATTTTATAGGAAACTTAAATGCGACACACACCATACTCGGACACAGAACCAGAAACCCAAGGGGGAAGATTATACACGACCTATTAGAAAACGGCAACATCACACACCTGGGCCCAGATTTCGAAACCTACATAGCTGCAGGAAGCACCGGGAAGCCGGATATGGTTTTGACCAATAGACACCACCATTTGAATTCACACATGAAACCTGGACCAACCACCACTAGCGATCACCTGCCCATAATTATCACTCAATCAACATCACCAATACAAATCCCCTCCATCCCTAGATTCTCTTTCAACAGAGCAAACTGGGAGGGTTTTAAGGCAGAACTCAACACAAACGAACAAATACATCAACATAAAAACACAGCAGACATTGACATAGCCCTGGAAACATGGTACTCTAAAGTCACCACAGCCATGGAAAATAACACCCCCAAAACAACTTACCGCACACTACCCCACGCACAATTAACACACGAACAGAAGATAATCCAGACAAGACTGAATAATATACTAGAACATACAAATGCTCACGGCTGGAACCAAGAAACGATAACTCTCTTCAGAAACCTAAAGGAAGAGCTGAAAGAAATATGTAAACAATCACACAACGACAAATGGAACCAGATAATCACAAACACAGAGGCCGATTATCACAACCCAAAATTTTTCTGGAGTAAAATAAAAAACTAATGGGCACTAACTCCATAGATAACAGCCATCTTACAGACGACAACGGGGTAAAAGCTAGAGAATCTGTAGAAAAAGAACTGATCTTCAGAAATTTCTGGAGCAACATATATAAAATGACAGAAGAAGAAACAGAAACTATTGTAGAGTAACAGAACAGATGGTAACAACACACCTTACACTAAACACACAGAAATGGCAACCACCAAGAACAATAGACCTCAACATACTAATCAGTGCAGACACATTAACCTTGCCAATCACCACAAAGACATAAGAAACATAATAACCACTTTTAAAAATAAAGCACCTGGACTAAGTCAGACAAACAAAACAGTCCTTCAAAACATACCCACAAATCTTTAACGCTTCACTAGCAACAGGACACTTCCCCAGACCTATATCCTTATTAGAAACACCAGGGAAAATACTAGAAAAAATAGTCAACAGCAGACTCAGAAACTATCTAGAACAGGAAAACAAATATAACCCCAGACAACACGGATTCCGAAAGAACCGAGGCACAAACACGGCTATTGCATTAATTTGAGAATCAATAGCTAATGCCGTCCGCAATAAAAACCAGTGCAATATTGTTCTCAGAGACGTATCAAAAGCTTTTGATAAAATGTGGCTCTAATTCCACAGTGAATTTGATCGAGGGGGCTAAGTTGTTAAGTTGTGGCAGGAATGCTTTTAGGTCCTCATTACATGGGCAGAGACATAATACATCATCAACATATCTAAACCAGACTGCTGAAGGTGGTAAAATATTACTTAATAGTTTCTTTTCAACTGCCACAACTTAACAACTTAGCCCCCTTGCTCAAATTCACTGTGGAATTAGAGCATGACTGTAAATTTCCTTTACTAGACTGTCTGATCCACAGAATAGGTAACACCTTTAAGTTCAGTATTTATAGGAAACCTACTCATGTGTGTTCATACATTCATTATTATTCTGCCCACCATAATAGTCAAACAGTCAGTATTTTCATCATTGTTTTTATGTGCTTTGAGAATTTGCAGCCCGGAATTTATTGATGAGGAATATAAATATATCTATAATATTGGCTTGAACCTTCAGTACCCTAGATCTTTCATAGACAAATGCCTTAACATTACTAAGAAATCTTTCTATAGAACCAATCCCAAGCCCACCCATGACCATAAGAATCTCTTAGTATTACCATTTCACAAAAATTTTTCTCAAATTCCTTTACAACTAAAAACCTGGAACGTCAATGTGGCATTTAAAAACTCATGCACTGTTAACAAATAAATAAATAAATATATATATATATATATATATATATATATATATATATATATATATATATATATATATATATATATATATATATATATATATATATATATATATATATATATATATATATATACACACACAGTTGGCCCTTAACATACGCTGGTTTAGCATACACGGATTTGCAAATACGCGGATTGCCCCGCCGGAGGAATATTCTGTACATTGAAGTAATTGAAGTACATTCAAATCGCGCGCCATTCAACTCGCACGCGGCCCCGAACACGGGACACCGCCCGCTCCTGCAACCTCACACACACACACACGCATAGCTCTCCCTCACTCAGTCAGTCTCGCTGTAACCACGCTTGTGTTGACATCAGCATTGTAGTTGCAAAAATATTACATTTCTGTGAATGTATTATATCAAGCACAGTATGAATAGAATATCACTAATATAAGAATATTTTAATCGAAAACTATTAAAAAAACGAGTAACATATCTTGAACATCAGAAGGTTAGGTAAAGTCTTTTGTTTTCGTGTAGTTTATCCTAATTTACATTGAAATACACCACGTTTCAGCAAAACTACTATTTATTTCTGAGAATATGGAAATGTAATATTTTGCCGAAATGACGCAGGTATTACAGTGGAAAGTGACGAAAGCAATTACTTTCACTTTCTTTCGTTCAAAAGATGTTACCGTAATCGCTTTTTGAATGGTTTTCAGTTAAAAAACTGTTGTAATACAATAATATTCAATCCTAATTCACTTGTGATGCAACAGTTTTTTTACTGAAAACCATTCGAAAAGCGATTACGGTAACATCTTTTGAACGAAAGAAAGCGAAAGTCATTGTTTTCGTCACGATTTTATCCCACTTTCCACTGTAATACGGACGTCATTTCAGCAAAAAATATTACATTTCCGTGAATGTAGTATATCAAGCACAGTATGAATAGAATATCATTGTAATATAACAGTATTTAAACCAAAAACTATTAAAAAAACGAGTAACATATCTTGAACATCGGAAGGTTAGGTAAAGTCTTTTGTTTTCATCATGTATTTTATCCTATTTTACATTGAAATACACCACGTTTCAGCAAAACTACTATTTTTTTCTGAGAATATATTCATTCAGGTGCAGTTTAGGTAAAATATACATGTGCTGTAACATTTTTTTAATTGAAAACGATTTGGAAAACACGTACCCTCTAGCCCTGTTCAAGGAGAAGACTGGGAAGAGCTGTTTGGTGCTTAAGACGATGACAAGGAAAATGATTTTGATGGATTTTAATGAAAATATTCAGAAATATGGTATTGTAGTATTTATTCAAGTGAATTAGGATAGAATATTATTTTAATACAACAGTAGTGACGATGTGGAGGAGGCGGAGGCATAGAGCGGGGACGAGCAGTGACTGGCGGCAGCAGGGACGAGTGGAGATGCCAGCCAGTACATTACGGGTGTACAGTATTAATTGATTTTATAGCTCTTTTTGCATTTTAATATTAAATACTGTACATTACGTTTCAACAAAACTACTGTACTTGTTTCAAATTTAATTAACAAAGATTGATGTTTCAAATGTAATGAACAAAAATTGATGTACAGTATCTATAAATAAACTTTAAAAAATGAATACTTTGTTTTACATCGTCCTGTGTATACCATACCATGCATTTGGCTACTTTGGGCTTCCTATGATGACGCAAGAGATCTGCCCTGGCAACTGTACCGACACTCACAGCCGGTGGTGCGTCGTTTCCATAGTTTACTGGTAGTTACTGGTAAATATTTTTCAACCTAACGAAACTATTACCCGTTTAGAGGTTGACCTCCAATTTTTTGCCAAATAATTTGGTCTTAAAAACTCGAACTACACACAGGTATATATGGTAAATAAGGACATGGGGGGCCAGGGGTTTTTCAGGGGGGGGGGCAAAAGTACACGGATTTTTAACATTCACGGGTATCTCTCAAACCTAACACCAGCGTATGTTAAGGGCCGAGTGAAAAAATGTATATGCTACAATACAAAACTAACTGAACCAAAAAAGATAAAGTTAAAGTCTTAAATTATTTATGCCTTAACCACATGAAAAGGTTAAATAAATACACAGTAAACTTACTGCTCCACATGTAACAATGCGATTGGTGCTGGGAGCCCAGTCAATGCCTGTGACACGCAGATCATGACCCTGGAGTGTTTCCTGAAGCTTCCACTCTGATGCAGCTCTGCCATATATATTCACTTCATTGTTGTTGAGACTCAATGCCACTTCTGTAAGAAATACACACACATGCACTGAGGTTGCAAAACTAGAGAAACAAAACAAAACTACAGAGAAGCTAAGTAGCTAAATAAAATCTAAACCTAACAATGAAAAAAAAAATAAAAAATAAAATTAACTCCACCTACTTTCTGGTACAAACTGGGAGAGATCAGAAGCTTTGAACATGTTATGACCAGAAGAGGAAACCAGTCCTGCTCAGGTATAAAAAAGAGGACTGAACCCCCCCCCCAGTGATTATGCTGTATTATGACAGCTGTCTGGCTGAAAACTTAGGTAAAATTGCAGATTACAG